CCTTCTAATCTCCTGAATATCATTTGTTTTTTCAATTATATTGAAAACTAGTCAAAACCAATCAAAAGAAAAAAGCTGAAAATCTTTAAATCTGGCATTTCCCTGTGATAACAGCCATTCTTGCTTTGTTCTTTTTTTTTTTTTTTGCCAACAAAGTGTACGTACCTTTAGCGTGTATCATTCCAAATCTATCACAAGTTGGTTTAAACCTTCCTTATACAAGACACTGTGTAACAAAGCCACTTACTGTCCCAAAGTTTATTCACTCATTAATATGAATAAGGCCCTACATGCAGAAGAAATCAGTGCAAAACTTCTACTTAAACTTCCACTCAAAATTTCTCTAAGCCTACTAAATGAGAAGCTCCTAAGCAACAGTACACCGCGTGAGTTAGATATGTAACAATCTCAAGATTATACCAAGTTACATACCCAGTTTCAGCTTCCTTTTAAGTGTAAAATACTAAGGATCTGCTGGCTAACAAGCTAACTTTTTTTTATTCTGTTCCAGTAACCAGGCAACAGACAACTGTCCAACTGAGAATTATCTCTCTGAACAGCTGGCAATCAACACTTGGGGGGTTTTGGTGCTTGGTCTTTTTCTTTTTTTTTAAACTAGCAGAAAGATCAGTGATTCCAGTGATTACTTTACAAACCTGTGCAGCTCTAGATTCCACTTCTGAAACCTCTATTCACTATTTTAGTCATTTCCTCAGACCCATTATCCGCAAATTTACTCATATAAGTAAATGTTTACAACAGAATCGGAAAATCTTAGATATATACTTATGAAGTCTCTAACTAGCTAACATTAACACTTTAGAAAAAAATAGAAGTATCAAGAATAAAAGCAAGATGCATTTACTGATGTATGACAAACTACCTCCAAGGAACCATGACAACAGACAGCTAATAACTAACACCATTCTCACTTCTCCATTACCCTCCTTTATCTTCCATAGCTGAAAAAGCAGTATTTCACTTCAACATTATTTCAAGTGTTGATTTTTAAAACAGATTCTTTTCCCTACTAGACTTTAGGTTATCTTTATGAGTTATAAATTAAAATGACAATTCCTTTATTATATAAAGGAAAAAATAACGGTGAACCAAGCTTGACATATTATACCTTCCCCTTTCCTAACAGCTTAATAGGAGTAATGAAGCTAGAAAGTGAACTTATTAATTATAAAATCAAGTTGTGTTACTTACACATTCAACGTGTTTGAAAGGTTTTTAAGAGTCAGAATAAGAGACTTTTCGAAAGGGTATTTGCAGATAGGTTAGCCAGATGATCCCCCCATAATACACAAATGTTTCCAAAATATCTGATATTCAAATACTAAACATCTCAAATACAAGTCACTTGGTAAAAACATAACAATAGCCACACAACACTTCATACACTCTCTACGTGACACGGGAGGGGAAAGTCCCACCTTGCGTATTCTCCAAACATTTAGATCACTACTGATTAGAAATCAGCTTTAAAAACAACACAGCTAATCTATTGTTAAAAGCAGTAAAACCTTATTCCCATTTAATTATGTTTTTATTAATCTCTACTCTTAATGTGATCTAATTTCAGTACACATATGACTTCATATTCCAATAAATTGAAAAACACTGACCGAGCTCAAATTCACTCAAGTGCCAAGTTCAGACCAGGCAAGATCCTGTTGCAAGATAAACATGATGCGATGTAACATAATTTTGTGCATGTGTGCACGTGTGTGTGTATGTGTGAGACCAGCGCAGGAGCGCAGAGAGAGAGCAAGAGTGCATGAGAGAGAAAGCAAGCACGAGTGTGCTCCAGCATTCTCAACAGAAAAAAAAATACATATGTCCAGAGTAGTTTCCAGTCGAGCGCTCACTATAATTCAGAATGGAGAAATAGATAAGACAATGAGAGCTTAATACAACAGAAATACTGACTCTTTTATATTATTCAAAATAAAACCACACATCAAAAGAGTTTCACAGAATGGCCACTTTCTTTATGAAGTTCACTTCGTCAATATTAAAGCAGCATGGCTACATCAGTACTAAAATTTTGGACCAGAACCTACTAGTCAATACACACTCTGTATTTGTTTGCACAAAGGATCAGCACAATTTAGTTTAGAAGTAGGGCATATTTTGCCATTTTAATTCCTACTAATCTAGGGGGACAAGCCTGAACATAAAAGAATCAGGAATAATCTAAGCACAATAACCAAAGTCAAATTGCAGAAGTCCAGACAATTAGAAACAGTCAGCTGGTAACCTGAAAAGAGAATGATAAATTGTGTACTCAAAAAATAGGACTGTAGTGGACGATAACGTATTTATATACTGCTTCCTATTTTGTAAACTAAAGTGTTCAGTGAAAAGCTGTTTTTTCCTTCAATTTCTTGTAATTAGAGCTGCCATATAATTCTTCAGTAATTATGTCACCTTTTGATGCACAAAAATAATTCCAACAGAAACCAGTCTGCATACTGAAGTCCTATATCACAGAGGAAAAAAAAAAAAAGAACACTATTAGATCATAGGAACTACTTATGACTTCTGTATTACAACCAGCCTTCTCCCTTCCAAACAGCAAATTACTCAGACTGTGATAAAACTTTTCGGAAAAACAGAAAAGTTTCACAGAAGCTTCAGCAAGAGAACATTCCACAGTGAAATGTACATCACACACATTTATAGTCACAAGCATCAGAGGTAAGGACTAAGTAACTTCTATTAGGAAAACAGAATAATTGTTTAAGAAACTTTGTAAGAAAAATAAACCATATCTTTATATTAGCTATTTCACAAGGTTTGTATTCCCTGATGCTATATGAGCACAAGAGTCTGGAAGAAACCCAAAAGCCATCAGCTCGGGGAATGCAAGGACCTCCGAAAATTCCATGGGCTGGTAGTCAAACGCAAACAGAAAGACTAATGAGAGCTAGTCACACTGGAATCCACTTCTCATCCCTGTTCCATGCTTTAGCAGGTATCAGCCATCAACTTCCTTAAAACACTCATTTTCCATACGACGCAAAGCGGCTGCAAATTCAAAGCAGACTGTATGAAGTCAAACTGGAACTTCATTTGCACCTGTTACAGTGAAACTGCTTTATCCTCGCTGCCCTAGTTATTTATATTATTACTCCTGATTTTAAGAGAGAATGTGTTCATGTCACAAATATTTTTATTCATGCCATTCTAGCTTGCTAGTTTTTATTTTTCAAAGGTTCTTCAGCTACTACCACAGTATCTTTACAATTTGCTACACAAAAAAATATGTAATTCTGATTTAATCAGAAAACAGAAGAACTATGCTAGAGCACTGAACAAAAGATCTAATCTTTGGAGCATCCTTTCCAACTGAGTGTAAATAAACTATAGTTAAATGAAAAGGCTTGTAATTTGGTATTTGGAATATTCTTCATAAACACCAATTTTCTGTAACATCCTTGCATATCTGATACCACCTCATGTATAATGCAGAAAATCTATTTCATTTTCATCTATTGACAGTGAATTTAACTTACTATTGCAGCTCTTTACCCAGATTATGTTATTAATTCTGCAATCAGGCTCTTTTGAATGCTTTTATTTCTTCCAAGAGTTTTCACAATTCTACATTGATTTCTTTTTCCCCACCCTAACATACCTTTCAAAATAAAAGAGCATTTTTTCTAACTTTGTAAGGTAAAAAAGAAAAAACCACAAAGATAACAAATATCAGTTCATAAACTGTATCTTTCAACAGGAAAAATCTGCACGCATCATTTTAACTTCTGACATTTAAGTACTATAAACTACACTCACTAAGGAGATGTACAACAGGTGCATTCAAATTTCCACAACAAAAATCATCATTGTAAATAGACCACAATCTCTCCATTAATAAAAAATTATCCACTTCTGCCTGACACTAAAGTTATAGGATGAAAAAGCTAAATGTTTCAACATTAGTGTTCTGTTTATATCTATACCAACTGTCTTCACTATTTTGTAGAATTCAGCAATCTTGTTAAGTTACATCAAATGCAAAGCAGCTCTTATTTCTCCCCACAGAAAAGAGCTGGTAACAGGTAGTCAACTCAATTCTAAATCACCAGTTATTCTTCCAAATAACAATATCAAAACACCAAAAATGTGTTAGCTATGTTATTACTTCACATCAGTTTTTAAAAAGTCCTCTAGCACAAAGCTCAATTACACAACACTTATTTGTTCCTCTTTAGGAAAAAAAGAATTATTCAATTGCAGAAGTTAAAATCCTGTATATCATTACCTAAGACTCCCTCTTCAGAAATCATAAAGGAGAAGTGCTAAATCAGGCATTTATAATTGGTATATGCAAATATTTAAAACTTCTTCCTTGTGCATTAATACAGTTTATATAAAATACTGACTTCTTGAATCATCCAAAGTATTTTACTTTCATAATAGACCTTTCTTCCACCATCATGATAAACATAATATAAAGAATATCTAAAGAGCAGCACTTGTCCTCTTTACTTCACTCCAGAGCCAGTGAACAAAGCAGTGAAGCAGAAAGAAGGTACATAATGGATTTAAAGTAAATGGCCCATTCTTTAAGAGGCGGCCTCTCATTTTTACTCATTCTAGCTTAATTGTCATTACAATGTCTGGAAACTTCAAACGAACAATTATTTTTAGGCCAGCTGTCAAGCTGGTTCCTTAAGCCTAGATTTTTTTTAAGCTAAAAACAAAGCAATCATAATGTTAATGAAAATATTATTTTGCAGAAACATTGTAAACATCTTTAAACATATTTGAAGCAGTTAGCGCCCAGTCCACTCCCTACACCAAGACAAACAGAACATTTATATTCACTGTTGCACTTTGTAACATACTTTTGTGATAAATAATGCTTCCAGCTGCACTGGAAGCTTACTCGTCAATATACAAAACACACTATATCCCTTGAGACTTAAAAAAAAAAAAAAAAAAAAAAAAAGAAGAAGAAAAAAGAATTGGCTAATTTTTGCACCTACCTGGGTAAAAATCTTTGGATTTAGACAGCTTGATGGTGGCCCCAGTCTCTTTCTGCAACTGAACAATTGTCTGTCCTCCCTTCCCAATTATAGATCCAGCAGCATAACTAGGTATGAGGACCTTTAGAAAATACTGGCCATCCTCTGAAAAATTGAGATATGCATGGTTAATATGGCTTATAAACTTTGGTTTTCCCGCCCCAGACCCACAAATAAACAAAATGTTACATCTTTCAACTCATCCAGTAACTCATGTATTTACATCTAACCAGTTGCGTCATTCTACAAGACATGTCTACACTATGCCTTGACATTTTAAAATATGTACGTTTATTCTGACCAAATTAGAGAATCCACATAGATTCCTTAATTCTGTAAAAGAATAACAGTAAAATACAAATTATATTTCAAAGGTGGATTTCTTCCCAATGGTAACCACAGCACACATAAGTGATCGGACCCTTTTAAAAAAAGATAAAGCCCTGTACGAAAACGTGCCTAGTGACAACCACAACCTTGCCTGAAAATACTGCAAAGAAATGCCAAGACTAAGAAAGAATGAATTGTAAATTCTGATGGGCTATTTGTTTGTCATTAGCAAACACATGAGAATAGCAATTAGCTGTTGCCTGCATTCTTCTTAAGTGAGCAAAACGACTACTCTGCTACCAAATAACCCACCCAAAAAGTGGGGTTTTATTCCAAGCATTTCAGACACTGCCAAGAAAACAACTCAACATGGTGCCTATGGAATCACTCGCCTAAGTAATCCTGATGTATTCCTTTAGCACTTCTTAAGCGACAATGATCTCTTTTAAGCTCATTAATTAAAGGACATTAAGAAGAATTTTTCCCAATTGATCAAAAGCCTAAGTCTCTTATTTTAAATACACTTAAAAGGTGACGAGATAAGACAATGCCAGTCCTCTACCCACCACTAGCGTTAAAGCACACAATCGGAACAGGAAGAAAACTATATAACATGAATAGAAGGGGGGAAAAAAGAAAAAAATATTCCCAGTCTGATTCGGCAACTGCACAATTATCTGTGCCCTCACCCCAACTGCTAAATCCAGCTACACTGAACTCTAAGGACCTTCCGTAACCGGCTCTGAAAAAGTGCAAGACAATAAGGGTCCGCTGCTTCCCCAGACTTAGGCTCTCCCTAGTAATTAAGGCAACATCTCATTGGCATGGATATCAAGATTTTTATCATGAAACCTGTTTCAAAAAGTTGTTATTTTTTTCCCCTAAGCAGAAGAGACGCTCCTAGTTCACCTCACTTCTCTTATCCGAGACTACAAGCGTCTCACGAAGTGCCTGCGTGTGACAGCCGTGCCCACCCCTATTCACAGAGCCGGCTGAACCATGCACCGCGTACAGCCAGCCCGCTGCTCTTCACACCGGGCAAATAAATTCACCTCTGCCTCGGTGCATTGTTATGATGACTCCAGAGCAAACGGATAGAGCAGATGCTGGTCCCGTTATAACTCATCTCCTCCAGGCAGAGCAGCACGTTAACTAGCGAGT